CCATGTTGAAATTTCTTCTAATATAGATTTGTATTAGTGTTCAATCTTCTTGTAAACATATCCTATCTATTTGTAAATATTGTTCATTTTCAATAGCTTCAGCATGTAGCATAACGCCTTCAAATCTGCTTAATGACTGGATACTTTCAAACCTTCCAACAGCAACAACAATAACAAAACTTTTATCCGAAACTGCCATTGGCTAAAGAAGCTGTTAGAAGTGAGAAAAATCAGAGCATCTATTTCATTCATCTCCATGGGTATATATAGTGTTACATATGGGTAATAGGCTAATGGGTTAATGGGCCCTAACCCGATAACCCAAGAACTAATTCTAACACTCCCCCTCAAGCTGGAGCATATATATCAATCATGCCCAGCTTGTTACATAGAATGGAAAACACATTAGGTGAAGTAGCTTTAGTGAGAATGTCAGCTAACTGTTCCGAAGATGGAGTGAACTGAAGAGATATCATTTTCTTTTCCCAAGCATCTCGGACAAAATTACAATCAACTTCAATGTGCTTAGTTCTCTCATGAAACACTGGATTCTTTGCAATGTGGATAGCAGATTGATTATCACAATGCATAGGCATAGATCCAGGCTGCGAATAGCCAAGCTCGGTCAGCAGCTTCTGTAAGCCAGTATCATCTGCACAAAAGTATAGGCCATAAGCCCTGTATTCTGCTTCTGCCACTAAGATCGAGATACTACATCTTGTTTTCTTGCTCCTCCAAGTAACCAGATTGTCCTCAATGAAGGTGCAAAATCCAGAATAGACTTTCTATCTCCTATATTCGCCCGCATACCCAGCAATCCAAATAGGCAGAGCATGTGTAAATGTCCGTGTTTCTTATAGCAGTAATCCTTGTTGCCGGGACAGCCTTTATATACATCAAGCCATAAACATTCTTAGCAGCAGGGCAGCTACCAGTGAACTCGGTCTAGAGTATAAAATGCATAACCTGCTGCAATACTCCCTACTGCAAAGGTGATATCAGGGTCTGGTCACGGCAGTAAGATTAGAATCAACTTGCCAATCAATCTTCTGTATATCGGCCCTGCCATCGAATCTAGAGAGGGACTATTATGCACGCCAGCAAGTCAGCAATTCACTTCCATGGGAGTGTTTGCTGGCTGTACAAGCCGCCAACAGGGCGCCATATCTTATTCTAAGAGGGTCCAATGACATATTTCCTTTGAGATAGAAGTAACGGTGCTTTTGATATGCAATCTCATCCAAGTAAAGTATTTGGGTTTTCCCCATATCTTGGTCCAGCAAAGTGACGTGAAGGTACTCCTTAGTTTCCCCCCCCCCCCCCTGGCTGTTATGGAAAAGAAGGTCAATCGCCAGTTACAGGAGTGTCATCAACATATACTGCCAGTAAGCCACCAAGACCAGATTGTTAGTGCGCCGGAATAAAGACGGAGTGATCACAGACTGACATCCGTTTGAAACGGCGAACCAGATATGAGGCAGTACTAAGATTTCTCAAACCCTGATTGCCGTGACCTCTGTTTTGAGACGCTAAATTGGCGCTTGTTTAAAGCTTGCAGACCGTATTCTCCCCTTGAGCAGCAATACCTGGAGGTTGCTCGCATATAAAACTCCATTGGCAAGTCAGCCAATACAGAAACAGGTCATTGGTTTAAACATCTAAGCTGAAACATTGTCCAAGTCCAGATTAACAAGGCCATCGAGAAAAGTAGGCGAATGGAATTGAGACGGGCTACGGGAGAGAAGTCTCAAGATAATGCGATCCCAATAGGTTTGAGTATATCCAGCTATAGGGCAACAAGATCGAGCTTATAACGATGCAATTGAACCATCGTGCGATGACTTCAAAAGTTTATAAACCCAGCCGACAACCGTCAACTACAGTAGCGGCCCGGTACGAGAAGATACAAGATGCCCAAGTCCTTCTAGAAACAAGTGCCAAAAAATGCCATCTCCTGCATCATAGGCATGGTTCCAAGGCAGGATTTAATACGGGCCTCGCTCATATGACGCTGGGTAGAGATGAAAGAGGGAGCAAGGACAAAGCAAAACTGACGAGAAGAGGGAGTAAGACGGTCATATAAGAAACAAAATCCAGATATAGGGTGATTAGTAACAAGACCGTTTACCTTTTGGGCGATAGAGCAATTGGAATATCTAGATCGGAAGGAGTAGAGCGAGGCAGACATCGCCCTTTGCCAACGGAGATGATGGTTCGGGCTGGAGCAGAGAGAGGGACAGGAACTTTTGAAAGGACGACAATACGTCAGTAGTGGTGGTGGTGCAGACGGCATAGTGGAAGCATTTTGTAGTCCCGGAGAAGATCCATCAGCAGAAGGAACCGAAGCAGGTAATAGAACAGTTGTAGGAGCAATAGACGGAAGAGGCACAGATGGACTGACAGTTGGGGGAGATCCAGTCAAGGAGAAGTATGGAACCGACTCAAAAAAGGTTACATCTGCAGACACAAAATATTTCCTGGTGGATGGATTATAACACCGATAACCTTTTTGAGTACGCGAGTAGCTTACAAAGACACACTTAATAGATCGTGGAGACAGTTTATCCAGTCCGGGAGACAAATCCTGAACAAAGCAAGTACAACCAAAAACTCGAGGAACCACAGGAAAAGGCCTTTTGTTAGGATAAAGGCAGGTGAATGGTATTTTACCATTAAGAACAGGAGAGGGCATCCTATTGATCAGGAAACATGCACTGAGGACTGCATCAGACCACAAATACTTTGGTACATTCATATGCACCATCAGGGTTCTAGCAACGTCTAAAATGTGTCTATGCTTCCTTTCAGCAACTCCATTTTGTTGTGAAGTGTGAGAACATGATGTTTGGTGGATAATACCAATATTTGCACAAAAACGAGAGAGGTCATGTTTCATGTATTCCAAAGCATTATCAGTACGAAGGATACGAATAGAGGTGGAAAATTGGTTTTTGATTTCTTTATAAAATATTTCAAAAATGGTGGAAACCTCAGATCTCTCTTTTAAAAGATAAAGCCAAGTCATGCGAGAGAAGTCATCAATAAAGACAAGAAAATATCTGTAACCGTTTACGGAAGGTACACGACATGGACCCCAAACATCAGAATGGACTAACTCGAATGCAGAACTGCTGCGTTTATCAATACGATTTGGATAAGTAGCACGATGATGCTTACCCAGTTCACAAGACTCACAACTTAAAGAAGAAATAGAAGACTGGATAGAAATGACAGACTTAAGCTTCGATAACGAGGGATGACCAAGTCGTTGATGCCATAATAAAGGATTATCAGACTTATCTGCAACAAGACCAGTAGCAGGCATATTGTCATCCAAATAGTACATGCCTCCTCTCTCATGCCCCGAACCAATCGTCATTCCAGTTGCTAGGTCCTGAAAAACACAATGAGAAGGGAAAAATGTGACTTTGCAGTTGTTGTGTTTTGTGAATTGACTGATGGAAAGTAAACTAACAGGAAATTTGGGAAGATATAAAACATCAGTAAGAGTAAGCGATGAAGTAGCATGAACTACTCCATCACCAAGAACTGGAGAGTATGTCCCATCAGCGATCCGGACCGATGGAAACTTGTCAGAAAGGTTTAAGGAAATAAAGTGGTCCTTAAGACCCGTCATATGAGAAGAAGCGCCAGAATCTAATACCCATGGTCTATGAGGAGAGGCAATGTAGGCATCAATACCTGAGGAGGATGCATGAGTAGCAGAATAATTATTCTGAGAGAGATCGAGTTGACGCAACCGGTCATACTCAGCTTGAGAAATCTGAATAGTGGAGGGAGCAGTAGTAGTAGGAGAAGCAACAGAGGTAGGTGTAGTATCAGCAATCTTGGCCCATGCAGGTCGACCAAACTTCTCCCAACACTTCTCAGAGATGTGATTAGTCCGTCCACAATGTATGCACTGACGAAGATTCTTGCCAAGGTCAACATGTCTGCCACCAAAGGTGCCACGTCCTCCCCCTGTGTCGCGGCCACGTCCTCGATCACGACCACGACCTCTACCTCGTCCGAAGAACATAGCAGACTGATCAAGCGATGGAGCGGACGGTGTAGAGGAAGAAGCAGAAGTTACTCCAGTAGTTACTTGCATAACTCTAGAGAAAGTAGCAGTCAAGGAGGGGATAGTATCTCCCCCTAGTATTTGGCCTCGCATCTGAGATTGTAAGGTGGGACTCAGACCGGACAAGAACTTAGAGACAGCAAGGTCCCTACGATATCCCAACAGTGTCGTGGCATCCGTAACGGCAGGCTGATGCATTTCTAACTCATCGATCAGACGCTTTAGCTCACCAAAATATTCGGGGACAGAGCGATCGCCCTGTTGAAGAGAAAAAAGACGTTCATACAACTCGAACACACGGGATGCATTTTTCTCATTCCCGTACATAATTTTTAAATTATCCCACATTTCCTTAGCAGTGTTCGAGAACATGACACGGCTACTGATTTGGGCTTCCATGCTATTAAGGAGCCAAGTCATCACACAGCAGTCAGTAGAGATCCATGCGGTATACGTAGGATCAGTAGAAGCAGGAGGAGGGGCTAGAAGATGAGCTAATTTGTTGAATGGAACCCGAAGGTTAGAATGGAACCCGAAGGTTAGAATGGAACCCGAAGGTTAGAACCCGAAGGTTAGAATGGAACCCGAAGGTTAGAATGGAAAATCCGAAGGTTAATTATTTAACCAATTTTTTTTGTTTCTGTTTTTTTTTTTTGTTTTTTTTTTGTTTGTTTTTGTTTTTTTTTGTTTTGTTAGACTCTACAAACTCAGACTCAACTACTACACCTCAGACTCAACACTGGCCCAACAACCCGAAGGTTAGAATGGAAAATCCGAAGGTTAATTATTTAACCAATTTTTTTTGTTTCTGTTTTTTTTTTGTTTTTTTTTGTTTGTTTTTGTTTTTGTTTTGTTTTGTTAGACTCTACAAACTCAGACTCAACTACTACACCTCAGACTCAACACTGGCCCAACAAGGTAAACAGAAGCCCAACAAATTAAACAGCGGCCCACAACCAACAAAAAACGAAAAACAACAAAAACGAAAAAAAAATCTCAGACTAACAGCGACATTCAACACGCAAAAAAAAAAGGTTCGAAAGGCGATCCAAGGGCGACGATGACGAGCGCGAAGGAGATCGGGGGTCAGCGAGCTTCGGAGACATCAAGGCGTCGGCGAGCTTCGGAGAGGGATCCAAGGGCGGCGATGACGAGCGCGAAGGAGATCGGGGGTCAGCGAGCTTCGAAGGCGATCGCGAGCAAAGCAGCGGCGAGCTTTGAAGACGAGGGCGAGGTTCGAAAGATATCTGGCAGCAGCGGCTCGCGAAGAAGACGAGGACGAAGGTGGAGGACCAGGATCGGGATCTGAAAGGAGGAAGGTGAGGATTAGGGTTCCGTAGAACAGTAGCAATATTTTTTTTTTTTTTTGGTGTTTGGCGGCTAGGGTTTTGGAGGTGGTAGGGTTAGGGTTTTGGAGAACCTCTCTGATACCATGTTAGAAGTGAGAAAAATCAGAGCATCTATTTCATTCATCTCCATGGGTATATATAGGGTTACATATGGGTAATAAGCTAATGGGTTAATGGGCCCTAACCCGATAACCCAAGAACTAATTCTAACAGAAGCTAAATGCAAGAATCTTAAAAAAAAAAAGAAACAATTTCTGTGTCATATAAGATCGAGTTACAAGGACTAAAATATCTCTTATACTGAATTGATCTCAAGAGGACAATCTAAGTAATCTCAATATCGTGGAATTTTCTGGCAAGCACTACCACCTGCAGGAGCTTATGATGGTCAATATCAGATAACAAAAGGCATACAGAACAAACCTGTTGCAATCACTCTTTAGAAAGCCATGATGAAATTTATTTACCCATAAGATGTGCATATACAGAGAAACCAATTTTTCGTCTACAAGAGATTCATCAACACTTCATGGGAGAAGATGTACGTTGTCAAGTCTTATGCAGGAATTCTGCATCCAAGTGTTCAAAATTGAAAATATTACAGAAACGTCCGAGAAGGTGCCTGGAAGTACACCTATCTGTTAGTTAGCTTCAACAATGCATACTAAGTTCGTAAATTAAAATAGGGTTCATTGCGGATTGACCCCCTGTACTATTGCCCAAATGTAGATAGCCCCGTATAGCTTATTGTTGCAAACAGATCCCCTCTACTACACCAAGTTGCAGATAGACCCCCTGAGCGGATCCTTTTTTGACTCTTTTACCTTCATGAGGTCTCTGTGTTACAAAAGGGGTAAAAAGGGGAAAAAGAAGGAGAAGAAAAAGAACAGTCTTCTTTTTCCTCTGAGGGTAGAAGAGTAGAAAAACGCACTCAGGGGTCTATCTGCAACAGTAGAACTACATGGGGTCTATCAGCAACTAGGCGATAGTATAGCGGCAGCATCTAGCCGCAATTAATTAACCCAGTAAAATAATGGACCTTACTTCTCCTTCGACTCCTTGGCCTTTGCAAGAGAATCATGATCCTGAAGAAACTGAACAAACATCATCATCATAAATCACAATATCCAACTTGAAGTCTTACCACATTCAAGTATCAAGCTCTAGACCTCCTGTTAAACCATACCCTTCAATTTCCGCTATTTCATGTAGATAGCTAATCCTTGTCTACTGGAGGCCACAGAAACTGAATTGCCAATGACGAATGTTACTCACACGGGCATTTATATTCCTAAAAAAATTTAGGATCACAATACTATAGCCCTGGGAAATACAATGTGCAACTGCAGATATTGAAGAAGGGTCTTCTCTGACGATTGATGCCTGATTTTGCATAAGAAATAAGCAAATTATAATAAATTCCTAAATCTCATCTTCTTGTGGATAAATAACACTATTTTGAATTAAGAAAAAATTGCGGGGACAGAGGCCACTAGTACCAAATGTAAACCCTGTGAGTTGTCTTCAATTCAAATCATACTCAAATTCAATCATCATGCTTTTGAAAAGAGGAATGATACAGATGCCAGCAATAACACAAGTCAAAGGACAATTTAGTTCGAAGAAAAAACCAGATAATCTCACGGAAAAGATAACATAAGAATATAGAATATGAGAAAATAACTATTCCTTTGCAAATAAAATAATCCTTTACTAAATTTGTAGCTTTAGATATGCATGGAAGTACCTTTTTCCTGTAGTCTCTGGTGCCCTAGTGAGATTGGAAACTCCAAGGCACGAACAAAATATTTAGCAGATCTACAATCTAGCCATTAGTCATGATCTAGAATTGTGGCTAGAGCAAGTTTCTGAAGTTTCAGATGCATTCATGAAACTGCCATCCAATATTACAAAACATTGCACATCCACTCACACATATGCTCAGCCCAGGTCGGCTCCTGGAGAGTTCCACAAGCTTTCCCCTGCTTTTACCAGACAGCCGAGTGTTTCCTACACCGAGCCAACGAAGCCCAAGAAAAGAAGGATGAGCAAAATACTCAAGTGAATCAATGGATAATCCACAGCAGTTATAGAGATCCAGCCTCCTAATGGATCTTCTTTCATCTAAAGATGCTCCAAGTGATCTCAAAGCTTTAATGGATGCATTACTCACAAAAAAACAATGCCGAATGCAAAGGCTGCTGAGTTTCCTACAGTATTCAGCAATTATAGTAATAGCTCTATCTGATATTCCGGGCATATAACCCAGATCAAGAGTTGTTAAAGTTCTACTGATAGAGCTTTCCCCATGAAACAGCAAAGACATTCCTCTATCAGTGATCCTTTTGCAAGCCCTTAGGCACAAAGAATCAATTGGAGAGCTCCCCATTCCAAGTGCTGATAAACCACTATCAGTAATATCAGCTCCACTTAAGTCAAGTGTTGTCAGCTTACAAAGTTTGGAAATTGACATCAGTCCATGATCAGCAATGCTCTTGCAACCTGAAAGATCTAATGTCACTAAGTTTTGACAAGAGGAAAGAGATTCTGCTATTTCACTAGTCAGAAGATTGCATGATATCAACTTCACTTCAACCAAAGACCTGGGGGCATCAGAGAGATCATGAAATGCCAAATCTGACAAGAAAAATGCATTGACAATTTCCAATTGTTTTAGGTTCTTGCAGGAATGAATAATAGAAGCATATCCTGCATCTGTCACTTTAGAGAACCCAGCAAGTCTTACTGATTCAAGTTCCTTGCATTTCTCCGCAAGTAATAGTATTCCTATATCATTGACCCTTCTGAAAGAGGATGGGCAGTTTTCTTTACTACGTGTTAGAGAGAGGCGTTTCAACTTACTACAAAAGCCTAATGACAGAAGACCAGTGTTGGTCAAATCATTAAGCACTGATGGTTCCTCCACTGGTTTGTCTTCAAGGCATAGCTCAAGTAGAAGATGAAGATTTCCAGCAATGGAGATAAGGAGTTCATCTGTTATTATATCCAAAACAAGAGAAAGTGACTGTAACCTAAAACAAGTGGGAATGAGGAGCATTGCTTGCTGGTTAGAGATGGGCTGCAACAGCAAAATCTTGACATTTTCCGGCAGAACAAACTTGAAAAATTCAGAATCACCTGGGCCGAGGTACTGATTGGGAAACTTTATATAGAGAGACTGGAAAACAGCAGATGTAAAGTAGAATATGTTAATGGCAGCCTTATTCAGCAGATAACTTTTTTTTCTTATTTCTTTCCATATCAACAGATTTTTTTTCTTATTTCTTTTCCATATCAACAGTTTTACCTCCAAATGCAAGCATCTCCTGAGCATATGATCTATGGCTTTCATGCAGGTATCAGGAGATTCAAGCTCATACTGATAAACCACTTCCAATGTGAGCAGTCTACCAAAAAAAAAAGTAATCCCACCAAATTGATAAGTGTTTTTACCAAAATAAATGCTTAAAAACATCAGAGAATATAGTTCAGACCTATAAGTAAGACAAACTTGTAATTTTATGGGAATCTTATAAGTCCAAAGCAGAACTGGGGACAACATTTGAGTTACAATAGATAAAAAAAATATGGATTGTAATACAAAAAGAGCATGATTCCACATATAATTCTGAACATTTTTTTGGGTGGCTATGGTCCATACCTTAATTTCGGGCAGTTATCTCCAATTGCAGTGAAGATATAAGAAGAGAACTTGAAGCATTTCAACAACACTAATTCTTGGAGATGCTCTCTGGATAAAAGTACGATTGCTGAATCATCTAGCCGGCTACAATCAAGTTTGAGGCTTTGGAAGACTCTATTCTCTCTGATTACCCCATTTAAGATCTCCGCACTAGGAGAAAAATCCTACAATTCATCATAAATAATAAACTAGTAATGATAAGCCGAATGTATATAGTGATTTCTGGAGAACCACCAATGAGATGAAGCGAAAAACAGAGAAATAGTGGAACGCAATTCATTAAAACTTTGTATCTTTGTAAAACAACAAAGATACATGTTTCAGGAAAGGAAAAGAAAATAACACCGCAGAAACTAATAGAATATTAGAATCAATAACAACATACTTCTGGTCCTATAACACTGAGATATACAAAGCTATAGAGCACAAAGTCTACAAAAGAAAGGGCTTATTAGAAGGGTTTTTGCCGACATACTCCCAAATATATCTCATTTACAGATTTATTCTCCAAATTAGACTATTTGCTAATTAGTCCTGCACTCATTGGGATTTAATCAAGATACCCTCTCATCTCACTCACGGTTTTCTAACAGAGTAAGGGTAAAATGACAATTTGCATTTGATGCCATAAAGTTGTCATTTTAAAGGCTAAATTACAGTTAATACCCTGTTTCCCCAAAAACACTTATATAACCTAAGTTACAAAATGGAGCAAATATATACCCTAAAAAAGGGAGCAAATATATACCTAGGTTGAAAAAAATGTGCACGTAGTTACCTTCGATTAATCAGTCATGAGAATATTCTAGAATATTCTCACATACTGGTCACATGACTATTTTAAATGCCATCTACACTCATTGATTGTATTAGCTACAGCTTTACTATCCCTTTCAACTATGAGGGTTACTTTTTAAGAAGGGCAAATTTGTCCTCTTAGGTAAAATTTAACACCATTCAACAAACTCACATGGCAGACAACTCAGGGCAGATATTTGCTCTGTTTTGTAACTTACGGTATATAAGTGGTTTTTGGGAAAACAATAGGGTACTTAAGTGCAATTTAGCCCTTTTTTATTTTTATTTTTATTTTTTTTGAGCCAATTTTTTAAATTTGATGCCACAAAGTTTATTTTTGACAATTTGATGCTCCAATCCTTCTATTTAATTTAAACCTTACCGCATTAAACTGCAAATTGCCCAATTTAAAATGATAATGTCGGGCATTAAAATGCCAAAAATAAACTTTTTGACATAAGATTTAAAAAAAAGAAGGTGACAGCTTTATGACACCAAAGTGCAAATTATAGAGACACATAGCCCACAAATTTTGTTACATTGAAAGGAAAAAAATGCCCCCAAAATCATGGAGGGCCTAAAATTTATTGGCAAATCATGGAAAAATTAAATATTTACTCATAATCAAGTAGAACGAACACTTCAAAAACGGCATAATCTACGATATTCGAATTTAAAGAAGGAAAGAAAATACTCACGGAGAGATCGATGGAGGAAAGAAAGGAGAGAGTCTGGGAGACGGCGAAGCTCAAAGTTCTAGAAACTGGGGCTGCGGAGCAAAGAGATTCCAAATCGAGCCTCGACAAGATCTCGACGAGTAAAGAATGGGGAAGATTCTCTATTTGAACCTCACAGCGGCCGCCGCCGTCTGCTCGTGCTAGCTTATTCTCCATTGGGGAGCGAGAATCGAGACGAGAGATTAAGAAAGAGAAGGAAGAAGAATAGCAATTGGGGATATTTTTTCGGTAGCAAAACCCTAGATTTTGGAAGAAATTAGAAAAGTCCGAACTTGAAATCTGGGGATAGTTTGACTGGTGGCTTATGTGGCAGGTCCGGTCGGATTGGAGTCTTTGACTCTTTTTCTCAAAAAGCGAACCGAACTGAATTAGGGGGGAGAAACAAAAAGTTAATTTTAATTTGGATTATGTTTACTCTCAATTTATTGTTTTCAAAACAGTTTCTAACTGTACATGAGACAGAGCGCGAGTAACAAAATGGAATCCGTAAACAAGCAAATGAATAAACCGAACAGATAAATAAAACTGTAATAATCTAACTTCTATCTCAATTCACGGCTTCATCCATTAACACAGGTAATTTTAATTTTCAAATATTTGAAAAAAAAGTAATACGTATAACATATGGAAAGATAGAGAGAGTGAATGACGCTAAAGATTTAGGAAAGATCATTCCCTTGTCATTTCCCCGAAATCATCTCTCTCCTCAATTTCTCTCCATTTAACAAACAAGTCTTTATAAGCTACCATTCTTGTCGCTTTTATTCATTTCTTGCTCCCC